ATATATGTGTGTGTGTGTGTGTGTGTGTGTGTGTGTAACATTAACATCTACAAAGCCAAATACACGTCAATTGGAAGCAAGATAATTTTCACTTAGAAATATCGCAAAGAAATATACAACCCCAGTCAACCCGAACAAGAAAATTAAATTATCTATTACGCAAAATTGAAAACAGCTAACCTTATCATCCAAAATCACAATATACCTGCAAAATAAAAACTACAAAGAACCAACATCATTTATGAGTTTAAATGCCTCTTAAGAAATCGTGTTCCTGATCAAACCAAACTAATTACATTGGTCACACTACTACATGCCTATCCAGACGACTTACGTTACACCTATCCGGCCATAGCTCCATTAGGACTCATTCAAAAACACAGAAAAACCTACCAAACTTTATCTAAAATATAGTAGCATAAAATACAAGCATAAAAACATCATCCACACGTAAAAAAGATTAAAAAAAAAAATAATGGAAGCCCTAATAATAAAAAAGAAAAAGCCAATACTTAATAACATTAACTATGAAGACGGCCACAATGTGCTGGCCATGTTTGAAAAATAAAACATTCTTATAACTCTAGATACATACAACACATAATCCATGCATTCAGTTAAAAGTAAAAAAAAAAAAAAAAAAAAAAACTTAAAAAAAGGCAGGATGTGTGTGTGTATGTGTGTAACGAATGCACGGCCGCAATTTTCGACAGATTTGCACCAAAATTTACATGCACATACTCCAAGTTAGTGGGAAGGCCAAGATCGACCTTGCATTTCCAAACTCCCATCGATAGTGGAAATAATCGATTTTTTCATGCTTCTACGGCAGTTTTCATGTAGTTTGCGGCCATTTTGTTCTGGCCAGAGTGAGAGCCTATAGATGGCTGCCACGAATAGGCAGGAAGATTCTATTGACCAGCGTGAGAGCCAACAGCTGACTGACATGAATGTTAACTAGCATGCTAGCATGCAAAAAAAAATCGATAGCTGCATTCGTCACAAGTGGGGAAAATTTAAATCTGCATGACACTTTACTCCAATTGGCTCATTCGCTTGCTTAAACTCAACGTTGATTGTGAATGTGGGTTGGGTGTGAAAAAGTATTTGTTGTTAACATTCTTTTTTCATTCGGTTTTTCCAGTTACGAGTCCTTTTTTAAAGCTGATCGTTTTGTGTTCATTTTGTTCAGTTCTTTTTTCGTAACAGATTTAATGTTTAGTATAGAGCTTAGAAAAATTCGCAGTGTGAGATAGGCAAGAAGTAAGACATGTAGCAACATCAGCACGGCAAAGGGCACTCCTTTAAAGGCAAGGAAGGGCAAAAATATTTTAAGTCAAGTGATAGCGATTGCTGTATGAGTCGTACGATTTTTGAATCAAGCACGGGCAACGCCGGAACATGCTGCTAGTATAGATATAAAAGTATCGGCAAAAGCTCTCGGACATGCAAAACTTCTGGACAGTTTTTACAAACTTTGTGTCCAGGAAAGAAAAAAATTGTACGAACACAAGAAATATCAAATAAAAAGCTTAATCGCAGTACCTTGTCAGTCGTCTTTAACGATATATATATATATATATATATATATATATATATATATATATATATATATATATATATATAGATATGCTCAACCTTCTGTAAAATACACTAAAATATATAGGAGAATATTATATTTTACGCAAGTTTGCGCAGGGGAGTTGGGAGAATATATTGATGCATGCATTTTACAAGGTTATGTTTATGAAAGGAACGCAACTGTCTCGACCGGAATTTGAACTCTTCATGCCGAAACCGTTTTCCGCGATGATAATCATTTACACTACACGCAACAATAAAAGAAAAAAAAGAAAAGAAATATAAACAAAGATAAACAAAAATACAAGGTAAAATAAATTAAATAAAACAAAAATAAATACAAAGTAAAAATACAAAGTAAAATAATAACAAAAATAAATACAAAGTAAATTAAATAAAATAAAACAAAAACAAATACAAAGTAAAAATCCAAAGTAAAATAATAATAATACTAAATACAAAAGTAAAATAAAATAAAACAAAAATAAATACAAAGTGAAAATCCAGAGTAGAATAATAACAAAAAATGCAAAGTAAAATAAATAAAATAATACAAAAATAAATACAAAATAAAGATACAAAGTAAAATAATAACAAAAAGAAATACAAAGTAAATTAAATAAAATAAAACAAATACAAAGTAAAATAATAACAACAATAAATACAAATGAAAATAAAACAGATAAATACAAAATAAAAATACAAAGTAAAATAATAAAAAAAGTGGAATAAATAAAAATAAAATGTAGGCACTCACAGATATCGCAAATCTATCATCTAACATGAGACCCAGTTTAATTAATTTTTAATTATAGTTAAAAAAAAAAAAGTAATTTCCTTGAAATATGCCTATAGATATTCCGTCATGCGTGTCCTCATGAGAAATTAAATATGCATCTATGATACTAGATCTTGTGGGAACATAGTAATTACTTCTAAATTTAAAGGAACAATAGCCTAGTGGTGTAAAGCGTTGGCTCGTGAATTGGGCGATTTAATAATTGTGAGTTCAATCCCTGGGCCGGGCAGTATGTACTTGCATTCAGTGGAGACAGGATGAGCGATAATTTAGTAGTACTAAGAATAAGAACTAGACGAGATATCTCAGGACATGAGCAGTAGAACAAGGACAGTTTATCTCCGTAGATTAAATAAAAGGTTTAGTTCGGAATTACCTGAAGATTACCCGGATCGACATACACCTGGTGAGGGCCGGAAGGCACAACGACCGAAACGTTGTGATAAAAACAATAAAGATGGGGACAATATTCCGAGTGTAAATAATTGGAATTTCGCTAAATGCATTGTGTGGGCGACAGATGATGCACGCTTAGTAATATCTATTTGGACGATAACTGACTCTTCCACTAAAAGTCATGTGAACATTTGTATTGGCAATGGACAAGCTGTCAATAGTCTGAAAATCTGCTTTACTAGATGAAATGAACCGAGCTTTCTTTCAAGCCTAAGACGTGTGTGCCTTACGCCATGATAGTATCGCGTGGATATCGGCAAAACGATGGAAAAAGAAGCTAGAAATCAGATATATCAGGTGCATTGAATATATCCTGGAAACAGAACCATGGAAACGAGCAGCATTGATAGCATATACCAGTTTGCGTATACCGATTATTAAAATTATAAAAGCTTAGCGAACCGGTTGTTGGGTTATCCTAAAATAATCTTATAGATTAATAGCCGACATATAATAGCTAATACCATTGCTGTATGTTCTGACGAGGCTGAAAGAGGGTTTTTTGTGATTAAAATAATTTATTCTGACAAAAAAAATCGTCTTGAAGTTAAAAATGTGGTAAACGTTCTAATCATAAATATGATAAGTCTTCCTACCTTCTAATAATAAATTTCATAGGTCTTCCATTTGATTTTTGGAACTGCAGCGATTTAGATTGAAAAGAAAATAAGTAGAATAGATTCCTAAAGATTACCTGCCTTTAAAGAACCGGTTTCTGGTTGACGATTTTTCAACGGGAAAATTATTCTAGCAATAATTCGTAATATTTGAGAGACCTCGATCTTGTCACTGTCTATTAAGCCTGTGTCTCTGAGTTCATTGGTATCAGAAGCAGCAGCAAGATAAGAGGTGGTTTATAACAGATCTATCTTGACGTTGTGACCGGTTTATATAAGGAAATTTACGGACCAACATCATTTGTCTAATAATACATAGGTTTCTTCGGAATTAGGTCAGTCCAAACACTAAGATTGAATACTATATTCTTAAGCTCTTCAAGTCTAGAGTCAATAGTTATCTATCCGCCATGTCCTAGTAATTTTTATTTCATGCTTTTTCCTCTTGCATTCATATCACACACCGCATTCAATAACCCTGTATTTTAAGTGATTCTTGGGCCTTGTACTGGGTGAAATTTTGTAAAAAGAAAAATAACCATGTCTATTTTACCCATTCTTCAAAACTTGTAAAGACAGGAGCACCATTATTGAGTTCCGTCACACTTGACTTCTTGGACTTTGTTTCTTTCTTTACCACTTAAGACTCTACATGCAAAATAAATAGGCTCCTTTTTATCATAATCTTGTTGGGTTTATTATTCCCAATACTACAATAACATCTCTTGTACCGAGAAACATCACTTTAAAATGCCAGAAACCTGCCAAAATTAATTGTCACCAGAAATTTCGCTTCGAATAAGAGTAGATATGTAAGCAGACAAAGATGGTTGGCCCTGGCCAGTGGTTGTATCCTACTGGTTCGTGCAAACCGATTCTTAAAATTATAAAAGCTTAGCGAACCAGTTGTTGGATTATCCAAAAATAATTTTATATATTAATAGCCGATGATCTAGATAAAATGTTTGTTATTCTACACTTGCACGCGCGCCTAGTGAAGCTCTAATAGACATATGCGCCCTACTCTACTGTTTTGAAGGTAAAAATGTGGCAAATCTTCTCGTCATAAATTTGATAGGTCTTCCATTTGATCTTTGGGACTGCAGCGATTCAATTCGAATGTGTCTCAGAAACCATTAAACAGTTGATGACACTAGAGTCAAATAGAATCATATTTCTAAACAGGAATATAATGAGAACAGAATTTCAATCTGGAAATATATTAATAAATTTTCTATTATCAAAATTGTTTCATTTCTTTTTGATATTATATAAAGTGATTTCAGCTTGAAAAGAAAATAAGCAGAATAGGTTCCTAAAAATTACCTGCTTTTATTTAACCGATTCCTGGAAATCTAGGATGCTGTTATTGCTTCCATTTTACAATTTTTTTGAGAGAGAAAAACAAAATTTGTGGAGTATTCCTGGAGAGGCAAGAATTAACCTACCAATAACTTTCTCTCGTGGACACCAAAACATGGACACACTAGCATTGGTAGCCTTTTCCAAATATATATTCAGTAAATATGTGATACTAACCTGAAGATCTACCCGGCGCAATGGATAGACGTGAGAGAGAAAGAAAGAGAAAGCGTGAGAGAGAGAGAGAGAGAGATAGATAGAGAGACAGAGAGAGAGAGAAAGAAAGAGAAAGCGAGATAGAGAGAGAGAGAAAGAGAAAGAAAGGGAAAGCGAGAGAGAGAAAGAGAAAGAAAGAGAAAGCGAGAGAGAGAGAAAGAGAGAGAAAGAAAGAGAAAGCGAGAGAGAGAAAGAGAAAGAAAGAGAAAGAGAGAAAGAAAGAGAAAGCGAGAGAAAAGAGAGAGAAAGAGAAAGAAAGAGAAAGCGAGAGAGAGAGAGAAAGAGAGAGAAAGAGAAAGAAAGAGAAAGCGAGAGAGAGAAGAGAGAGAAAAGACAGAGAAAGCGAGAGAGAGAGAGAGAGAGAGTCGTGAGGGTCCGTGTAATCGACACGCCTTGATGTAAGCATTTTAGAGTTAGTTTTGGTGTAAGAAATACGTGCAGTATTTTGCCATTTATTTATTTTTTTCTAAGAAACAGAATCTAACTATATGAAAGGGTCACTTAAAAAAAGAAACTTTTCTCATTTGTTTAAGGTTTAGTTCAACAAGTAATTTGAAATAATTAGAAATTTCTACGTTTATGATATTTATTTCTTAGAACGAAAATGGTGCGATCGTTTTTTTTTTTCAAAATAAGATTTACGATAAAACTACGCTTTTTCACGGTGATGAAAACATAAATTAATACCCCAATATTGTAAATTAATCAGTGTTATACATATGCAACAAAAATTTGTCAAAAATGCACCCTTTTTTTACTAACCAGGATACACGTTAAATTCAGAACAACTGTATCTGTCATTTCCAACACAAGAGAAACCAATCCATTTTCCGTGTATTTGAAATGCTTTAAATATTTCTGTATAAATTTTACTCTTACTCACACTGTTTACATTGTTCGGGATATTGTCCTTATCTTCATTGCCATATTCACGACGATTCTGCCGTTGTACGCTCCGGTCTTTTTCAGGATCTGTCTATATTTCTGAGGTGAGTTATTGCAATTATTTACACTGTTTACATTGCTCGGGCTGTTTTCCTAATCTTCGCTGCCATCTTCACAACGTTTCGGCTGTTGTACGCCCTGGCCATCTTCAGGATTTGTCTATATTTCTAAGATAAGGTATTGTAATGATTTACACTATTTACATTGTTCGGACTGTTGTCCTCATCTTCGTTGCCATATTCACGACGTTTCTGCCGTTGTACGCTCCGGCCTTCTTCAGTTCAGAAATATAGACAAATCCTGAAGGAGGCCGGGGCGTACAACGGCCGAAAGATCCTGAATATGACAACAAAGATGAAAGCAACAGTACGAACCATGTAAACAGTTTAAATAATTGCAATACTGCGTCTCAAAAATATTGACAGATCATGAAGAAGGCTGGAGCTTGCAATGGTCGAAAAGTCGTGAAGATAGCAACGAAGTTGAGGACAACAGTCCGCACAATGTAAATAGTGTAAATAATTATAACAGCTCACCCCAGAAATATAGACAGAAATTTCATTCCGACTGAAAGGATGGTTACAATTCTATATAGATTGCGCATTTTACTTTTAAGCGGTACCAATTTTTATTAACAATTCTGCTGCTGTTGATGTACTTATATATCTTTACGAAACGTATATTGCCTACTGTTGATATATATATATATATATATATATATATATATATATATATATATATATATATATATATGGATATAGGATATAGATCCGACAGTATAAAGAATAATATACGGAAAAAACAAACAAAAATCCTAATAGGCAATTATGATCACGTCGTCATCACGTGGGCGATGTTGTGAAAACGTATTCTAAGATGATTTCAAAATATTAGATAAGCTCGATTATATTAAAACGGAACGATGATCTTATAAAAAAAAATTTGTTATCTGTTTGGATTAGTCTTGCTCTTGTGTCCATCGTCTTTTTCATGCTGAATTGAATATAGCCTAATGTTAATTATGTTTTATGAATATATCCTGAAGATGGTCTATTAGACCGAAACGTCCGACGTTGACATTATATTAACATTTAAACAGCATGATTGCATATTAGGATTTTTGTTTGTTTTTTCCGTATATTTTTCTTCATATATATATATATATATATATATATATATATATATATATATATATATATATATATTTTGAAGGCACTGAAAGGTCGGTTTGTGTTATAAAGTAACTAACGCTTTATGCTATTTGCAAACCTGAGCAAACATAGAAGCCTACAGTACAAGGTGTTTTCTGAAGTATTTTTGTGTTGGGGTGTTTGGTTTAGCTTTGTACGGCAAAGTATGCAATCAAAGCCAAAATGGCGGCGCCCATGATTAATCGCCTCCGATTAATTTCAATTAAATGGCAATTTCGTATCATTTCTAAAACAGGTCACTACAGCCAGGCAACAATGGTCCGACAGTGAAGGTGTTAAATAACAGTAAATCGTAGTAGGTTAATTCTAACTTACGTAATGTCGAAATAAAAAGCGAGAACTTATGGATGTTTAGTATAAACGTACTTTCGCAAACAGGGGAAATTTAAACCGGGGAGGGGGGTGCGCACGCAAGCAAGCAAAAAAGCAAAAATCTTTATAAAGGATGCTGAGACCGAAAAATACTTGGTGAAATTCTATATCCCTTTGCACATGCGCATATGTACTGTAACCGAAGTGTTATCCAGTTATCTATTAAGAGCTTAATTATCATGACTCTGAGCTTAAGGGAAACTCTTGAAATTTCGCAAGTCAATCGTTTTCGGCCTCCTCCTCCTCATCGTCTAACGTTACAACCTATATTACCGGCACAGTAGCAGTCAAAACTTAAAGTATCTCTGCACTCTCTGTAAAGCGTTACGTTCACGATAGATTTTGTTTTAATATTATTATTTTC